GCGAGGTGAGGCAGATATACGAGGGGCTGTGCCTGGACCTTGCTGCTGCTGCTGACGAGGAGGCCTGCAGCGCTGACAGGAGCGCTGACGTGGCAGGCCAGCGTGGAAGGCGCGCTGACGTGGCAAGGCATGGTCCAGCTGGCAACGAAGAGGCTCTCTGCATAGGAGACGTTGCTGATCTGGATTTCAACAGGGGAGAAGGGGTCAAGGTGGGTGAGGGTCAGAGCGAGGTTCAGGGCGGTATGAGTGCGGTGGAACTGGATTCAGTGCGGTTGCTGGCCTCCCTCCCATCTCTGAACTCCAGCGACATCGCCGCTGCCCTGCCTGCTCTCGCTTCTGTGAACCCACTGCCGAACACAGAGGGCGTTGTTGAGTCCACTCAAAAGCTGCCTGCTCTGGCCCATGTTGACCCACTGGGGGACACAGAGGGTGTTATGGAGTCCACTCAAAAGCTGCCTGTTTTCGCTCATGTTGATTTACCACACGGCACAGAAGGCGCTGCTGAAGCTGCGCCTAGGCGATTGGCTCACATGTGCGGCTGCTCGCCAGAGGGACTTCTGCAGCAGCAGCACCAGTACCAGCGATTTGACCCGGCTGTAGCAGCATCTGATTTTGCCGCAGCAGCAATTGAACCACATATAGCAGCACTTGAACCAGATGCAGCAGCAATTGATCCGCCGTCCACTGAACAGGTAGCAACTGAATCGGCTGTAGCAGCACTCGAGCCCAACACAGCACCGCTGGACCCAGCTGTAGCAGCTCTCGAGCTCAGTTCACCACCTCCGGATCCGGCTGTAGCAGCACTCGAGCCTGATACAGCTCCTCTGGATCCGGCTGTAGCAGCACTCGAGCCTGATACAGCACCTCTGGATCCGGCTGTAGCGGCACTGTCGGACATCCAGCTGCCGCCCGGGTTCACAGAGGGCGAGGCAGCAACGGAGCACTTCCCACCATCGTCTGACCCGCCTGTCGATACTCTAAACCCGCTCGTGGAAACCCAGAACCCCTTTGCGGTGACTTTGGAGTCGAGTCAAAAGCCGCCGTCGTGTGACCCGCCTGTTGACACGCGAGACCCTCTTGTGGAAACCCAGAACCCCTTTGCTAACACCCTGAGCCCTCTTGTTGATGCTGTGGAAAACGTGCTGTGCGGCCACAGGGGTGATGGTTTGGCGGTGGGAGGGGGGGAGGGAGGAGAGGAAGGAGAGGGAGGAGAAGAGGAAGGCGGAGGAGTGGGAGGAGGGGGAGTAGAAAGGGGAGGAGAAGAGGGAGAAGGTGAGGAGAGAGCTGGAGAAAGGGCAGAGAATGAGGGAGAAGATGTGGGAGTGGTAGGGAAAGGAGGGCGAGATGATGATTGTGAGAGGGAGGGTGCAACGGGGGTTGGGGGCGGTGGAGTTGGGCAGGAACAGGCGTCAGCATCAGCATCTTTTCAACCAACGCCGAGTGTTTCTGGTGCTGGTGGCCATTCTGAAGCTAGTGCTAGTGCTAGTGCTAGTGCTAGTGCTAGTGCTGCTACAAGTGGTGGTGCTGATGGTGGGGAGAAACGCCCTTCAGCTGGTGACGCAGCCAGAGGAGGAGGGGGACAACCAAGCGGCACCAACAGCGGAGAAAAGCCCGACCAATCAGAAGCAGGAAATGATCTCTCGCACGGGTCTCAACCCGGGGTGAAGCATGGGTTGAGTGCGGTGGCAGGGGATGCAGAGGCGCATGCCATGCTGCGGCCTGCAGGCATGCTGGCGCCGCCCTACGAGCACATGCGCCAGCCTGGCATGGCTGTGACTCTAGCGGATGTGCTTGAATCGAGGGAGCCGTCAGAGCAGGCGGGTGTGACTGTGGACGAGCAGGGGCTGGGCTCCCTGGGATTCGCCACGTCGCCCCTGGAGGGTCTGGGTTTAGAAGAGAGCCCGGGCGTTAAGCAACATTTGGTCTCTGAGCAAGAGCTGGGCTTTAAGCAGCAGCTGGGTTTTGGCCAGGTGCTGGGCTGTAATCTGGGGCTATCAGGGAGAGCAGAAGAAGGGTCGGGTGACACGTCAGCAGTTGTGTCCAGTGCCAGGTCAGCAAATCTACCGCATGCGAGCACACTGCCAGGTGTGCAACACGCCATGTCAGTGGCGCCTGAGCTGCAGCAAGCAGTTGCGTCCTCACCTCTAACGACCGCTTCCCCCCTTGCCCCGCACCCCCCGGTCCTTCCTCCCACACCACCTCCCAGCCCCGTTCCACTCCTTGCCTCCCTCCCCATTAGCCGTACCTCCATCCTCACCCCAGCAGCAACAGCTGCCCAATCCCTTCCCTTCCACACCCCTGTACTCACGCCACCCACAGCACCCCAGGTGACACCTGCACCAATCATTGGCCCCCGTTCGTCCACCTTTTTAGTCACACCCCCTGCCAGTGCCAGTGCCCCATCTTCTGCTGAAGGGAATGTTGAGGTGCACGTAGGGCCTGCAGCATGTGACAATAACGAGATGCTGCTCAAGATTGGAGTGGAGGAGACCAAGGAGGTGGTTGTGAGGCAAGGTGGTGGTGGTGACACTACAGTGAGATTTTCAGTGGAAGTGAATGCAGGGGAAGTGAGAGTAGGGATCAAGAGTGGAGAGGATGTGACTGTAGTGGTGGGAAGGGGAGTGGGGGAAGCTACAACTGCATGGGTGGAAAAGGGTGCATAGATATGTGGCACAAGAATGCTGCTTGGTGCAAGTTGGTATAATTTCTGGTGATGTTGTCTATAGGTTTGATGGTTGTAACATACTCGCTGTAAGCTTCACCATTCTACCTTGATTCTAGCTCAAGTATACAAAAAGAAAGCTTGTCAAAATGAGAAGATCGATGATAAAATAACGACTATATCACAGCTACAACAAAATAATAGGCCCTAATTCAGGCCAGTATATAATACAGAGGCGCGATTGGCGCGTATCCAAATCAGCCCACCAAATCATCGTCCCACTAAATTATACCTCCATGCGCGACTATGTTTAGTGAAGCGGCTCGCGGGGGAACTCTTCGACGGGGCTGAGCTGCTTGGCGCGGTGGTACTCGGTGTGCGCGCAGTCCACGGAGAGCACCGAGCTCGACTCGTACGACCGCGGCGTGCCGTCCAGGAACCCCACGCCCTCCTCGCTGTCCGACGAGATCGGACGGTGCAGATTCGCGATCAGGCGCTGGAAATCAGCGGCGCGCGCGGCGTGGTCTGGGCGGTACGTCTGGCCGAGCACGCCGTGCACGTCGTCGGTGTGCTCCAGCTCGACAATCCCCACGTTGATGTGCGCCTCGGCGTCGTTGGGCGTCTGCAACTTGGGGTTGGCGACGCGCAGACGCATGTCGAGCGACACGAGCCCGTCGATCGCGAGCGTGTAGTAGTCCACGTCATACGGCCCCTCCTTCTCCAGCGCCGCGAATCGCAGCGTCAAGCCGCCCTCAGTTTTCACCTCGTCGCCGACGGCCATCCTCGGGATCTCCTCGCCGTCGATCTCGATCGTCTTCATGAACCCGTCGCCGCGCTCCTGCTGCTTGCCGCCGCGCGCCGCGAGGCGCAGCTTGTGATCCGCGCCGTTGGCGAACCACACGAGCCCGAGCTCCTTGATCCACGTGTGCACGGCCTTGCCGTCCACCACGAGCGCCGCGTTCTCCGTGTCGTCCGAGTAGTACCCGCGCAGCAGCATGTTCACGTGCAGGTCGCGGTCCGTCAGCAGGCAGAACGCCTTGTCGGGCCGCCCGTTGAAGTCGAAGTGCGTCCCGAACGCGCCCACCAGATGCGGGTCGTTGACGACGTTCGCGGCGGGGTTGCACTCGCCGCCCGTGCGCACCTGCAGCGCGATGGGCTTGGAGTCCGTGGCGTACTGCGCGGTGAGCTCGCCGCACGAGTAGTCGATGTTGTCGTGCACCAGGTAGCACGCGCCCTCCGTCTTCTTGCCGTCGATGGTTATATCGGGGATGTACTGCCAGTACGTGCAGCTCTTGAACGACGCGCACGTGTTGCAGCACGTCTGCGGGGACGCCTTCTTGAGCGTGAGCGGGTTACCTTTGACGTACATCTCCACGCCCAGCTTGTTCTTGAGCAAATTCGACGTCTTCCATTTCGCCGGGATGCCGCCCTTGCTGCAGTTGGCGGGCGTGCACGCGCCGTCCCCGGGTTTGCCCAGATCCTTGTGGCACTTCATTTTGTTCCATCCGGCCGCTTTCACGTCCACCAGCAGCATGCTGTCCGTGCTCGGACTCACGATCGTCGTCCCCTCAAACTTGTCCAGATTGCCCGCCGCCGCCGCCTGCTCGATGCCCTTAGGCACCTCCGTTGCTACTCCATTCTCACCCTGCGCAGCCGCGAGGGACACAGCGGGGTTGTTGGGGCCAGTCACGACGCTTGGCGCCGCGGAGGCAACTGTCAGTAGGAGTGCGAGCGACGCTACGAGTAGCAACCGTGCCATGGTTCTAAAATCTAGGCCAAAGCGCTGAGGAGCTGTCTTGCTGTCGAGAAATGTTAAAATCGCCTAGAGAGAAAGAAAAACGCTAGGATTAAAAATCGTACGAGTGAAACTTCACCTAAGATATGTTGTACGAAAGATAGTGTTGTGTCTTGTCTGTCGACGGACTTATTTTATATTACGCTGGTGTGTATGGTTTGGCTTACATTGCCTCATGGTTTTGCTGGGGAGTTCGCGAATCGCGAGATTGGAACCGAACCGCGCTTAATCAAGCGACTGTAGATGTTGGCGGGCGGATGCGACTGCACTTTTCTGGCGCAGGCTGGCTCCTCGCGGCTGGTTGTTACCGGAACAGATCTGGTCAGGTATCAACTCAGGTTACGGAAATTCGAAGCGCAGGAAGCAGGCTCTGTGCTGGTCAGCATGGGTGAACTCCTGGGTCGCCAAATTATTGCAGGAGTTTCTCCTCATCACCCTGTACCCGAAAATCGCAGCTGGACTCTAACGAGGAGGAAAGCTACATTGGGAGTAAGCGAGAGTTTTATAACACATCATTGAAATAGATGAAATGTCTTACAGCACTCAATATTCACCAAAATTGAGGGCCAGAAACCCAGCCAACAGTCTGCCATTGGTGGATCTGAGCTCGTTGATTAGACGGCTCCAATTTGATCCTAGCGACCCAACAAAAAAATCGCACTGTGCAGCAATCAGCAAGCTAGCGAAGCTGACTGCCACTGATTGCTCACTATCATATGCCCACAGGACCTCTTCCCCTTGTTGTTCTTGCTGTGGTGCTGAGATGTCGCTTTGACGGGTGTTATTGGAGTAGAAGAAGGTCCAATCAGGATAGAGAGACGTGGCATCAATCACCGACTGCGGGGGAGGGGGAGGGGGAGGGGGAGGGGGGGGGGGGGGAGGGAGGGGGCAGTGTGGGTGAGTGTGTGTAGGGTGCTGCATCCACGTCCTTGCGCTGCCCTGATTCTGTTTTGAGTGGACTCAAACTACACCACAGTTTCATGGTTATGGAAAAAATGACTCGGAATATTGTTAGGGTGAACTGGCACCGGTGTATGATGGTGTTTGGGTACCTGTGCTTTCGTTTTAAGCCACACATGTTGAAGTAAGGTGACTGTTGAGTCGACTCAAAAGTCACCTCGCTACAATGGCACACGACCCATGCACCAGTGCATGATGGTGTTTGGTTACCTACCTGTGCTTCCGTGTTGAGCCACACATGTTGAAGATCGGGCCGGGACAGCTTGAGTCTGCATGGGAAACAAACACACACACGAGGGCTCGGATGGAAAGGGTGTGAGGAAAGGAGTTGCATTGTTGTAGAGGACTTCATGATAAATGGAGACTGAAAACGATAGCAATATCGCCAACGCTGGATAGCTGGATATAAACTGCGCCAGAACCCACCAGGGCCAGAACCCACCAGGGCCAGAACCCACCAGGGCCAGAACCCACCAGGGCCAGAACCCACCTGAGCCAGAACCCACCTGCACCACAACCCACCTGCACCACAACCCACCTGCACCACAACCCACCTGCACCACAACCCACCTGTACCAGAGCGCACCTGTGCAAGAGGAACATGTGGGAGTGGAAGGAGGCGAGTTGCATCTCACTGCGCTTGTCTGTCAGCCGCACATGCACACTCACCATGCCCCCTGGCATGCGCACCTCCCCCCCCACCATCCTGTACGCTTCCTCCGCTCCCACCTCCCTGCTTTCCTCTCTGCTGCTGCTGCTTTCACCAGTGTTGCAGCCGGCAGCAGGGGCACAGCTAGCAGCGGAGCAAGGGGGCGCGGGGAAGCCGCGCTGGGGCCACACGCAGCCGTGCAGCGAGCGCACGGGAGGGGGTGATGACTCGCCCTGTGGCACCTCCGCTGCTGCTGCTGCTGCTGGTACCTCAGGTGCTGTCTCTGGTGTGGGCAGTAGTGGTTGTGCTGTTGGGGAGACAGATGGTGAGGGGGCTGAAGCAGAGGAAGAGGAGGAGGAGGAGGAAAAAGAAGCATCTGAGAAGGGGATTGGGAAGGTGGGGGGAGGGAGAAAGGAGGAGTAATCGTCCATGCTGGAGAGCAGCAGGTATTGACTCTCTGTGATGGCGTTGCTGGCTGAGAGGCCACGCAGGAAGGCGGTCTGGGTTGGGATGAACGTTGCGAGCTGATTGGCCACGAGCATGCCGAACGCGGCGTGGCGCTGCTGGTTGATGACATGGCAGAGATGCGCGGAGGGCCAGCGCAGCATGAAGCGCGTGGCCTGCGCACGCCACCAGTGGGTCTGATTGTGAGGAAAGAAATGTGACGGAGAGGGGAGGGAAATGATTGTGAGAGAGAGGGAAAAGGGCACAAGAGGCATTCAGAGGAGAAGATGAGCGGAGGGTGCTTTTGTGCGCCTCCAGGCTTCACAAGGGCCAGCGCAGCATAAAGCGTGTAGCCTGCTCTCACCACCAGTGCGTCTGGTTTCATACGAGGTGGGATGGTGGGTGGGTCACGTCATGTTACGATGCCTCTTGCACCATGCCTCTCACCATGCCTCTCACCATGCTCTCATTGGTCGACATGCCTTGCATCTTCCCCCAGTGCTCCACCGTGGGTGGTGTGGCCAGATATGCAGATCCCCACAGCCTGCAGGTGGGTAGGAAGGAAGGAGGTTGAAACGGGGGGGAAGGAAGGAGGTTGAAGGACGGAAGGGGAGGGCATACGTCTACCCACAATGCCCAGTTAGGGGTAACCCCACAGCACTCACCCTCATACTCACACATACCTTTCGGCCTCACTGCACTGCTCCATGAATAGTTCCCCCAGCTGCTGCAGCTCCACACACACAATAGGGGCATCCGGCGCTGCTGCTGCTCGGAAGCCCTAGAGACGCATGGCGACACTCCCCCACGCTCACACACTCCCCCACGCTCACACACTCCCCCACGCTCACACACTCCCCCACGCTCACACACTCCCCCACGCTCACACACTCCCCCATGCTCACACACTCCCCCACGCTCACACACTCCCCCACGCTCACACACTCCCCCACGCTCACACACTCCCCCACGCTCACACACTCCCCCACGCTCACACACTCCCCCACGCTCACACACTCCCCCACGCTCACACACTCCCCCACGCTCACACACTCCCCCACGCTCACACACTCCCCCACGCTCACACACTCCCCCACGCTCACACACTCCCCCACGCTCACACACTCCCCCACGCTCACACACTCCCCCACGCTCACACACTCCCCCACGCTCACACACTCCCCCACGCTCACACACTCCCCCACGCTCACACACTCCCCCACGCTCACACACTCCCCCACGCTCACACACTCCCCCACGCTCACACACTCCCCCACGCTCACACACTCCCCCACGCTCACACACTCCCCCACGCTCACACACTCCCCCACGCTCACACACTCCCCCACGCTCACACACTCCCCCACGCTCACACACTCCCCCACGCTCACACACTCCCCCACGCTCACACACTCCCCCACGCTCACACACTCCCCCACGCTCACACACTCCCTCACACTCACACATACCTTTCGACCTCACTCCCCTGCTTCATCAAATAGTTCCCCCAGCTGCTGCAGCTCCACACACACCACGGGGGCAGAGCCGCACGGCATGACGGGTGGCGGCAGTCACGCTCACCCTCACACTCCCACTCTCCCTCACTCCCTGGTACTCACTCTCACACATACCTGGCCGCCTCACTGCCTTCCATCATGTACAGCTCCCCCAGCTGCTGCAGCTCCACACACACAATAGGGGCATCCGACGCTGCTGCTGCCTTGAAGCCACTAGTGGCGCACGACGGCACGGCACCCGCCGCCAGGGCTTGCTGTGCTGTCTGTGTGCAATCAGAAGAGACGACGGGGAAGAAGAAACACTCCCATGACCCCCGCTGGGCCAGGTCTGGGGGGGAGTGGGGAAAGAGGGGGCGTAGAGGCAAGAGGATGGGAGGGTGGGGGGCTGTGCACAAGCGGGCATGGCAGCAGCCGCCAGTGCTTGCTGTGCCCGTTGTGTGCCAAGGGGGGAGAGACGAGGAAGAAGAAAAAACACTCCCATGACCCCCGCTGGGCCAGGTCAAGGGAGAGGGGGGAAGGAGGAGGAGGGGAGCAAACAGGCGGGAGAGGGGGGAAAGAGGAGGAGGGGAGGGAAGAGGCGGGAGAGGGGAGGAAATGGATGGAGTTTCACAGGGAGGTTCCAACTCACCAAGCATAACGCCCATTGCACGCACCTTGGCAGGCGGGGAGGAGTTGATTTTTGAGTCGACTCAAATATCAACTTCCAACTCACCAAGCATAACGCCCATTGCACGCACCTTGGCAGGCGGGGAGGAGTTGATTTTTGAGTCGACTCAAATATCAACTTCCAACTCACCAAGCATAACGCCCATTGCACGCACCTTGGCAGGCGGGGAGGAGTTGATTTTTGAGTCGACTCAAATATCAACTTCCAACTCACCAAGCATAACGCCCATTGCACGCACCTTGGCAGGCGGGGAGGAGTTGATTTTTGAGTCGACTCAAATATCAACTTCCAACTCACCAAGCATAACGCCCATTGCACGCACCTTGGCAGGCGGGGAGGAGTTGATTTTTGAGTCGACTCAAATATCAACTTCCAACTCACCAAGCATAACACCCATTGCACGCACCTTGGCAGGCGGGGAGGAGTTGATTTTTGAGTCGACTCAAATATCAACTTCCAACTCACCAAGCATAACGCCCATTGCACGCACCTTGGCAGGCGGGGAGGAGTTGATTTTTGAGTCGACTCAAATCTCAACTTCCAACTCACCAAGCATAACGCCCATTGCACGCACCTTGGCAGGCGGGGAGGAGTTGATTTTTGAGTCGACTCAAATATCAACTTCCAACTCACCAAGCATAACGCCCATTGCACGCACCTTGGCAGGCGGGGAGGAGTTGATTTTTGAGTCGACTCAAATATCAACTTCCAACTCACCAAGCATAACGCCCATTGCACGCACCTTGGCAGGCGGGGAGGAGTTGATTTTTGAGTCGACTCAAATATCAACTTCCAACTCACCAAGCATAACGCCCATTGCACGCACCTTGGCAGGCGGGGAGGAGTTGATTTTTGAGTCGACTCAAATATCAACTTCCAACTCACCAAGCATAACGCCCATTGCACGCACCTTGGCAGGCGGGGAGGAGTTGATTTTTGAGTCGACTCAAATATCAACTTCCAACTCACCAAGCATAACGCCCATTGCACGCACCTTGGCAGGCGGGGAGGAGTTGATTTTTGAGTCGACTCAAATATCAACTTCCAACTCACCAAGCATAACGCCCATTGCACGCACCTTGGCAGGCGGGGAGGAGTTGATTTTTGAGTCGACTCAAATCTCAACTTCCAACTCACCAAGCATAACGCCCATTGCACGCACCTTGGCAGGCGGGGAGGAGTTGATTTTTGAGTCGACTCAAATATCAACTTCCAACTCACCAAGCATAACGCCCATTGCACGCACCTTGGCAGGCGGGGAGGAGTTGATTTTTGAGTCGACTCAAATATCAACTTCCAACTCACCAAGCATAACGCCCATTGCACGCACCTTGGCAGGCGGGGAGGAGTTGATTTTTGAGTCGACTCAAATATCAACTTCCAACTCACCAAGCATAACGCCCATTGCACGCACCTTGGCAGGCGGGGAGGAGTTGATTTTTGAGTCGACTCAAATATCAACTTCCAACTCACCAAGCATAACGCCCATTGCACGCACCTTGGCAGGCGGGGAGGAGTTGATTTTTGAGTCGACTCAAATCTCAACTTCCAACTCACCAAGCATAACGCCCATTGCACGCACCTTGGCAGGCGGGGAGGAGTTGATTTTTGAGTCGACTCAAATCTCAACTTCCAACTCACCAAGCATAACGCCCATTGCACGCACCTTGGCAGGCGGGGAGGAGTTGATTTTTGAGTCGACTCAAATATCAACTTCCAACTCACCAAGCATAACGCCCATTGCACGCACCTTGGCAGGCGGGGAGGAGTTGATTTTTGAGTCGACTCAAATATCAACTTCCAACTCACCAAGCATAACGCCCATTGCACGCACCTTGGCAGGCGGGGAGGAGTTGATTTTTGAGTCGACTCAAATATCAACTTCCAACTCACCAAGCATAACGCCCATTGCACGCACCTTGGCAGGCGGGGAGGAGTTGATTTTTGAGTCGACTCAAATCTCAACTTCCAACTCACCAAGCATAACGCCCATTGCACGCACCTTGGCAGGCGGGGAGGAGTTGATTTTTGAGTCGACTCAAATATCAACTTCCAACTCACCAAGCATAACGCCCATTGCACGCACCTTGGCAGGCGGGGAGGAGTTGATTTTTGAGTCGACTCAAATCTCAACTTCCAACTCACCAAGCATAACGCCCATTGCACGCACCTTGGCAGGCGGGGAGGAGTTGATTTTTGAGTCGACTCAAATATCAACTTCCAACTCACCAAGCATAACGCCCATTGCACGCACCTTGGCAGGCGGGGAGGAGTTGATTTTTGAGTCGACTCAAATATCAACTTCCAACTCACCAAGCATAACGCCCATTGCACGCACCTTGGCAGGCGGGGAGGAGTTGATTTTTGAGTCGACTCAAATATCAACTTCCAACTCACCAAGCATAACGCCCATTGCACGCACCTTGGCAGGCGGGGAGGAGTTGATTTTTGAGTCGACTCAAATATCAACTTCCAACTCACCAAGCATAACGCCCATTGCACGCACCTTGGCAGGCGGGGAGGAGTTGATTTTTGAGTCGACTCAAAAATCAACTTCCAACTCACCAAGCATAACGCCCATTGCACGCACCTTGGCAGGCGGGGAGGAGTTGATTTTTGAGTCGACTCAAATATCAACTTCCAACTCACCAAGCATAACGCCCATTGCACGCACCTTGGCAGGCGGGGAGGAGGGCGCGGTCGAACTGCCCAGGCCAGGGCACCAAGGTGCGACTGTGAGCCATGGCTATGCTTAGATACGCCCCCGCCAGGTGCACCTGCACCAGTACAGGACAAAAAGGACAACTTGCCTCATTCTATACCTGTTCTTTCTGAAAACACCACCTGACGTCAGCTGTTGCAGCTCTACCGGACCTCTCACCTGACGGCTCACCTGAAAATGCACCTGACCGCTCACCTGAGAGCCCAAGCCGTGGCGTTCACCCGGCCACCAGCGAGCCAGCAGCAGGCGCCGCCCCTCACACGACGCTCCTATTCGCTGGCTCTCCCAGATGTCTCTCTGCGCGACACGTGTCAGTGGCAGGTTGTCCACGTCAGCACCCCTCACCCAAGGCGGGAGCGGCCCCTCCGTACACCCCTCCCCTCCCCCTTCCGCACCCCCTTCCGCGCCCACATGCGCCGGTTCTCCTGCTGCTCCCCCTTCCCCCCGTCCGCGCGCCCATAAGGGCGGCTCCCCCCCTGGTCCGCGCGCCTCTGACGCGTGGCGCCAGGCGGTGCGCGCGGAGCAGTCCTCCAGGTGGGGCGCGGGGGGAACGGCGGGCGGAAAGGGGAGCGGAGAGGGCGGGGGAAGCAGCGACGAGGAGTTGTCTAGCCCGTAGATCTGCGCCCATGCCTGGGGGAAATGGAGGGAACGGGGGAAATAATGTGAGAATGGATTGGTTGCAGGAAATTGGGGAGGGGGAGGAGGAGGGTGAAGTTGAGAGCATGGGAGAGAGGATAAAAAAAATCTAGGCGTTGCATAGAGACGCCACAAACCGTAGAGGTGGCTTATACCGCGTACAGCTCTTTAGCGCGCTCTTTGATCTCCTCCCCGTTGACTGCTGATAACCTCCGCCCGCCTTCCGCCCTTCCGCCGCCACCCCCCCTGCCTAGGGAGTCTCCCCCGTCAATTTCCCTTGAAACGGCTGTAGCCGCCAATACAAGCCACGCCACGACCAGTAACAGCGCCGATCGCGAAGTACGCGTTATAATCTCTCCGAATAAGGCCATATGTGAAGTCGCCGGGCATAGTCTAGTCGCCGCGCACCGCCTTCTCAACAAGAGTGATTTTCAGCGCATCAAAACGTACGAAGTACTTGACGCGCTGCGAATGTCTGTATCTCGGCATGCTAGGTGCTACATGGTCGACACATTCCAGCTCGATTCGACTGTCGTCTGCCCTGAAAGCCCTGCAAGCTCTGAAATGGAATGGATTTGAAATCTACGCAATAGCGGAGCTTTTAGCGGCATTTTTAGGTGGTCATACTTACCATTATTACAATGGTTTAACAAAATGACATAATTATTGAGAGGACTGGTTGCTCGCAGCCCAACCAGCTGCAACCAAAGCCAACACCACAAGCACAATTTTCTTCCGATTATCTTTCAGACGATCTAGTAAGGATTTTTTAAGAGGAGCCTTATCGGTGCTTGGTGTGCCATTAGCTTCAGCTCCACTTGATGTGCCTGACAGGACACGCCAATCAATCAACATAAAGAGGAATACATATTGATTTGTCGAATTCCAATATTCCCTGGCATAAATGGCGAACGCGAAGGGTGTCATGAAAAAAGAACAGGAGAGAGCAAGCGATGCTTTACAGCGCAACTCACCACCAGCAGCAGAGGGGCGGTATCACAGCATGTTGAAGAGTGATCCGAGCATGATCGCGAGCAGAGTGCAGGTGAGTGTGATGACTTACGGCAACGCTTGAGCTTGCACCAAGCAATGGTACACGCCAACACCCACCAGACTCACCAGCGGCAGAGGGGCGGTATCGCAGCGTGTTAAAGAGTGACCCGAGCACGATGGCGAGCAGAGTGCAGGTGAGAGTGATGACGTTGTACGGCATGCTCAGGTCTGGCAGCGGCAGCGGCACCACCACCGGTGGCACATACATGTGGCTTGGACCCTGGGGGTCCTGTGGCAAGAGGGGGAGAAAAAGTGGCGAGCAGAGTGCAGGTGAGTGTGATGACATTGTATGGCATGCTCAGGTCTGGCAACGGTAACGGCACCACCACCAGTGGTGCATACATGTGGCTTGGACCCTGGGGGTCCTGTTGTGGGAGGTGAGTGGTAAGGAAAGGGAAAGAGGGGAGGGGAAGTAGGAAAATAACATAAGCGCAAGAATGATATTCAGGGTGCCTCTAAGGTAAGTGTGTTACTTCAACCTTTTGCTTTGAAATGCATGCACTGGTACGTGTGTGTGTGACACTGTCATTGGCAATACAGTAGGCACAGAGCGCGTGACATCACAGCTAGTATGACATAACACTAAGACTTGTGAGTCGACTCAAAAGTCAGTCGACTCAAAAGTCAGTCGACTCAAAAGTCAGTCGACTCAAAAGTCAGTCGACTCAAAAGTCAGTCGACTCAAAAGTCAGACGGCACAGAGCGTGTGACATCACAGCTAGTATGACATAACACGAAGAGTGTCTTTACCGAGGGCACGGTGAGGAGGGCAGCGGGAAGATCGACTCCCCTGCTGGCATCAGGCGGCGTTTCAAAGACCGTCAGAAAGGCCTGCAGGGGGTGCGAGGTGGATGGAGGCAGAGGGAAGAAATGGTGGGACGAGGGAAGAGGCGAGGGGAAGGTCGTGGGACAAAGCTGGGGGGCGAGAGTGGCGGGAAGAGGCAGGGAAGAGAAGGTGGCGGCATGAGTCAGAGAGCGCGAGAGGAGCAGAGGTCAGGAGCACAACTCTGTGTTGTGTAGAGAGGTCATTTTTGAGACGTCTCAAAAATAACCTCTCTACACGTAGCTGGGGGCCAAGAGTGGAGTGGCGGGAAGAGGCAGGGAAGAGAAGGCGGCAGCATGAGTGAGAGAGTGCGAGAGGAGCAAAGGTCAGGTGCACAACTCCGCACTGTGATTGTATCGGTGAGTGTGGCAACACCGAATGCACAGGGAGTGTTCACACCTTTCTGTACTGCAGTGTGATTGTAACGCGAGACACCTCTCTTGGCACGCGCAGCAGCAGCTCCAGCACAGCGGGCGGGCCTCTCTCCCTCGTCGGCTGTAGCCGCGCCGCTACAACCGCACTGCTGTCCCTCAGGCTGACAGGGCGGTGGTCGAAGGAGAGAGAGAGCGTGTGCAGGTACAGCTTCAGCCACCAGGGCACCGCCTGGAACACGCTCACTGTGTCGCTCCCTGCATCGCTCCCTGTGTCGCTCCCTGCATCGCTCCCTGTGTCGCTCACTGTGCCGCTTCTACACTCCCCGCTCTGACTCCCTGTGTTGGCAGAATCATTATTTACTTTAGAACCACATTCTCGTGCACCGCTCCCTGCTCCTCGCGCTCTCTGTATGAGGAACGTCAGCCCCCCCAGGGCGTCTCCTGTGCCTGTGGTGAACCGGGAAAGGACAAACAGCGCCGGCCGCCGCTGCCACGCTACGCGCCGCTTCCAGTGAATGCCTGCCGAGCTGACCGCTGCCACGTCACCCACATCAGCAACATGGGCAGCAGCTGCATCAGCGCCAGAGGCAGAGGTAGAGGCATGCCCTTGATGGCGGCGCATGTCACGATGCAGCAGCACTGCTTCCACTTGCTGCACGCCCCTCATTCCCCTCACGCCCCCCATTCCCCTGACGCCCCCCATTCCCCCCATGTCTTCTGCACTTGAATCCCCTGACGGCACAGCACCATCTCTCTCCTGCACTCTCACCCTCCACTTCCCCTCAAGGCCAAACACTGCATTGCTCCTGAGGAAAGTCGCCCACCCCACTTTAGAGGCACTCCTGTCACTGTCACCTCTATTACAGGCAGCAGCAGTGGCAGCAGCAGCGTTAACAGTAGCAGCAGTGGCAGAAACAGCGGCAGCACCTCCTGCTGCACCAGCACTGAGTTGAGCCGCGGGGCAGAGGAGACCGGACGGCACTCTTATTGCCACGTCAGTTGACGTGGCAAGGGGACACACTGACGTCAGCTGCCGCCCAAACAGCGCACCCACGCTCCAATCAGGCGGCAGCGGAAGCACATCACTCAAATCAAGCCCCTCTTTTGCCGCTGCACCTGCTGAATTGGAAGGAGCAGAGGGGACGGGTTTGGTGGCAGCTGCAGCTGCAGCGGCGGCAAGGGCGTTCTCAGTGGAGGCATCGAGCACGACTGTGAGCGACTGGTGCAGCACCACAGCCCATGTCACACTGGCACAGGCAGGCGTGGCGGGGGAGATGTAGGGGGAAGTCGCGGAGGAGGATGAAGAGGATGAGGAAGAGGATTTCTCAGCAACACCACACACACTCCCTCCCTCTCCCACACTCCCTCCCTCTCCCACACTCCCCTCCTCGACCACACTACCCTCATCGCACACATGGGTCCACACGGCAGTGTGCATGGAGTGGTAGCGGCCGCCAAACACGGCCCCGCGGTCCATGAGAGACGAGAGGCCTGCCGCGTCACGGCACGGCAGCAGCTTCAGCCACGGCGTCAGGTTCTCCGTGCACACTGGCTCCCGAGCCATGCTCCCGTACCTCACGTGCAGGCCCGGCGGCTGGTCCGGCGGTGGCGAGGAGGAGGCGGAGGAAGAGGATTGGGGTTGAGATGGTGAGTGGGTGTGGTTTGCGGGGAGAGGGAAGGGGGTGTGGAAGTGAAGAGCGGGAGAGACGACGGAGAAGGGGGATTGCAGGAAGTTGAGCGAGGCACAGAACAGCCCTGCCAGGGCGTCGGTGAGGTTGTGCCACGTGGCGTCCAGCTGGCATGGGACGAGAGGAGAGGAAAGGGGAGACGGGCATGAGGGGAGAAAGGGATGGGGGATGATGCAAGTGATGGGGAGAAGGTCGACATGAAGCATTCAGCTCCAATGGTGTGACAACAGTGCAGAATCAGATATATATATATATACATATATAAACATATATAAATACATATATATACATATATACATATATACAAATATACATATATACATATATACATATATACATATATACATATATACATATATACATATATACATATATATATACATATATATACATATATAAATATATCCATTTGACTCTGAAATCCAGTTCAAAATCTCACAAAACTCTTCCCCACTGTTTCCCCTTTTCCCTTTCCCCTTTCCCCTCACCTCACTCCCGCCTTCTCCGCCCATCCACGCTACCAGCTCCGCCCCTGGCGGCCTGACGTCGTACTCTTGGTGTGAGAGAGGCGGGGGAGGGGGGAGAGAGGAGGAGGAGGAGGAGGAGGAGGAGGAGGAGGAGGAGGAGGAGGAGGAGGAGGAGGAGGAGGAGGAGGAGGAGGAGGAGGAGGAGGAGGAGGGGGTACCCCATTGCTGCACGTCCCAGTTGCCGTGTGTGAGAGAGAGCAAGAAATGGCGCACGCTCAAGGATTGCACCTGGCAGGAGGGATGGGGGGAAGGAGGGAGTAGGGGGGAGGGAGGAGGGAAGACGGGGGAGAGGATGAGGGCGTAGGAGGAGGAAGGATGGGAGGAGGGGATGGGGGAAGGCTGGAGGAGGTGATTCGGAGAATTTGCATGAGGAGCAATGCGCGTTGAGGCGGATAATGGGAGAATGCGAGGACGCGGATAATGGGAGAATGCGAGGACGCGGATAATACGAGGGCGCAACGGGGATAACGAGCCATTGACGAGGCGTTCGAACTCGTGGGGAGAGCAGCCGGCATCGGCGCGCGGATCCTCCCATGGCCACGCGGCTTACGAGGTGCAGGATGGCCGGGGGGAACAGAACCGTATCCGCGGAACTTTCCCCTCCTTCCGCTCCTCGCGTTCCTCGCGTTTCTCCCGTTGGCCGCATTTCCCGCAGCCGGCTTTCGAACGCGAAGTGCGCCAACACGCGGCCATCTGGCAGCGGCTCGAGCATCAGCCGCTCGTGAAACTCCTCGCGATTCGACACTCTAACGCGTTCTGACACCGTGGCTTTTGACACTCTATCTGCGGCCGCTAAATCCGGCCCGGATCCTCCTCCGCAAAAGGCGGAGAGGGCAAGAATCGCCGTCAGTGGAACCGGCCACATGGCTGGAGGAGTAAGTCTAGGATACTCGTCGAATCGGCGCGCGTTCGGCGGCGCTATGCTTTTGAGAAATCTTAAACTTTATTAGATGAAAACTGCGCACCAACGGTGCAATGGGGAAGGGACAGCAATCGTACGCAGGACGGACGATAAGCCCATGCGAAAAGCGACGCGTTTCTAACCTCCTAACCGGCTCTCTGGATGCGGAGAGCCGGTTTCTTTCGCAAGAGCCTCGTGGTTCGTGTGCTTCGACCCTTCGCGTCGCATTACTCGGGAGCAAGGCACCAGATTCGTAGTTCAGAACAGAAGCGCCTTGTACTCGAGTGGCGTGGGGGTCCCTGACACTGAATTTGTGTGTGAAGCAGCACAAATGAAAGGCGAAGGGGTACCGTGGAGACTAGAACGGAAATCGGGCAATCCCAAGGGCGATCGAACGAAGTGGACGTGAACAGGCCTGTCGAAGTTCCTGGGACCCATACTTGCGCTCCCCAGCTCCTCCCCATCTGACCCTGTTTTTGGTGTAGCTGAGCGTTTGGGCGCCCTTAACGGTCACGGGCGCACCCCAAAGTGAAAAGTTAAAATCTGGGCCTGTGAAGAGTTTGCACTTAGACGCGAAGGGAAATTTTGGGTGCTCTAAGCTGACTTTCAAACATGGGATGGCTAGAAAACGCCAAGGGGAAAATCCACTCCTCTCTTGCAACCCAAGGAGGAAAGGGGGGGGGGGGGACACTTAGACAATAAGGGACAATTCGGGTGCTCCAAGCTGACTAAGACGCTTTACAAACACAGGATTGGCCAGAAAACGCTAAGGGAAAAATCCACTCCTCTCGTGCAACCTAAGGAGAAAGGGGGCGGGGTCAGGCAGAATTTGGGGGGGTGGTGAGTCCCACAACCAGAAACCAAAACTTCGAGACAGGGGAAGGCCCTGTTTGGGCCCTTCACGCATCCGGGGAAGGGTCGAGCGCGGCACTTAGTGGCACGGGTGCAGTGCGAATCTAAAACTTTTGGCAGTCGAGCTGGAGCGATAGTAGCCCGGAATGTTCAGGGCATTAAGGGCATATGCCCTTGAATCGACAGGCCTGGACGTGAAGCAGCAGCCTAGCAAAAATCAGGAGGAATTCAGCCATACGCGATGAAGACATTGCTGAGCAGAGGACATGACCACTTCACAATCTCAGCATATAACAGAACAAAAATAATGAGCAATAATGTTTGTGCACAGAGCCCTCAGCTCCATCTTTTTCGAAAAACATACTCAGAAAACAACGAATCTGATCCTGTCTTGCCATCAATCTCAATCGTCGCCCCATTCACTGCAACCCCATTACCAACAACACCCTTGGCCCTCCCTCCTCCACTTCCCCCACCACCATCCCCCAACACCTCCCTTCCACTTCGCCATTCCTCCCCAGCCCCACCAACATCCTCCACATTAACCACCTCGATACAATCCCCTCCGCTTTCGTCACTCGCTCGAGCCCTCTTTGCGCTTCGTCCCGACAAACCAACTTTAACATGCCCTCCTGCATACCCCCCGTCAGCAGCACCAATGCTAGCAGCCATTTTCCCCTCACCATCAGCACCAGGGGGCACCGGATTGCCAGAACCTTCACTCGAAAGGCTCCTTTTCAGTGTAGTCAAGTCAGAGGAGAAATACTGTGGGTTTTCCGACGCCTTTGGAGCAGAATTCACATTAGCAGGGGTTGGAAAACCCGCAGTGGAGTTGACAGGTGCATTCCGTGTATCAGTTGGTTGGTCAGAAGATAACTCAGGAGGTTTGCTGTTACGGTCGTTGCTGATGTCTCCGGCATCCGCCTTGTGCTCTTTGATAAGCCTCTCGATAGTTTCCAGCACACGGGCACCGTACTTGTTGACCTTCACTCTGTGAGGGGACATGGGAGAGGAGGGAGAGGAGGGAGAGGAGGGAGCGTGGGGAGAGGGAAAGAGGTGGGAGCGGGGGGAGCAGAGGGAAGCATCAAGAAGATGGTACAAGGGAAAGGTGGGAGGATGATGGACATGAATACCTGAGCGCATTTGCATTCACTCTGCACTCACAGCTACATAACAACAGCTAGCTCTGCCCACCCATCTCCTGCCCACCCCTCTGACAATGCTGGGAATAACGCCACCGTTTTCCGCCCACCCAGGTCCCAAACACCCACCTGCCAATGCCCGGAATCTCCTGCAACGCGTCGAGAGTGCGGGGCAGGCGCTGACTGATAAGCACCAGCTGCGCGTTGCTGTGATGGGGGGAAAGGGTGGGGCGAGACAAGTTAAGGTGGGAAGGAATGAAGCGAGGGGGTGAGGGAAGAATGGAGGGGAAAAGCAGGTGAGCGTGCAGGGCAGGTGCTGACTGATAAGAAAACCAACTGGGCGTTGCTGAGAAGAGAAGGGCAGAGGGGGGACGGAGAGAGCATAGTGTGGCTACAACAAGCTGGCTTGCACAAGTGGACGAGAAGCACAGGTGAGGAGGCTGTGGTCCGACTGAAAATGAGACTCGATAGAACAAGTGTAGCGTACTGGCACGTTGCTGCCGTGCTGTGCCGCTCAGAGCGCAGGAGAGAAGGGAAGGAAAACCCACGCACCAGATGCACGCAGCAGATGCACGCAGCAGATGCACGCACCAGATGCACGCACCAGATGCTCGCACCAGATGCACGCACCAGATGCACGCACCAGATGCACGCACCAGATGCACGCAGCAGATGCACGCAGCAGATGCACGCAGCAGATGCACGCACCAGATGCACGCACCAGATGCACGCACCAGATGCACGCACCAGATGCACGCACTGTTAGAGGGCCCTACGACAGCAATGGCCTTCGTTGACCTTGGACTTGGCAGGTCGGCGCCTAACGACTGAGTCTACTCGGCACCGACGAATGAGTTCGGTGGAGGTCGGGTGTGACTACGTGTGACTATGTGCAACTGCGCAGGAGTTCGCATGAAGAAGCGAGAGTCCGTGGGAGTTGTTGGTGCTTCCTTGAGAGTCGCACCACTCCTTGCTGTGTTGGTGGAGTGGTGTGCACGAAAGCGAGAAGTCGATGCTGAGTTGGGTTGGGAAATTGGCGAGGCGCGTTCGCTCACCCACACACCACTTTCGTGGGGTTGGGTTACTCGCACCGCCCACGCAACCTCTTGTGAAACCCTCGCCTGCCTATATATGTTTGTGTTTGCTTGTGTGTTTGATATATTCCGTATTCCTAGTGAAGTCCAAATGCTACTTCAATTCTCACCAAGTCCTTAGAGACAAACGCAACCGAAACTCTACCAAGTTGCTGGCGCAACATCATTCCCATAGCAGAATCTCTCTCGTTATCGCTACGCTCTCTAATATATTCCTTCATGGTGCGGTGAGCGTGGAACGAACACGCATAGATTTCCATCGTCGTTGATATTCGCGTTCGTATACTCGCCTTGGCGTGCGGCGTTAGTGAAGGGCGCTTATTAATCTAAGTTGAACCTCTCTTGATTTCCCTCCAGTTACGTTCTCGGACCCAAGGATAGGGCGTTTGGTGATTTATTACCACTCGTCTGAGGACCCTTGTGAGGTGACCCCGAGACGAGGGATTTAAGGAAGGGACACTTAATTTAATTTGTGGTACCTTAAGAGACGTCGTAGAGGATGAGTACAGAGGAGGCGAACGTGGAGGCCGGTAATTTGCGCGCCCTAAGGAGGATCTCGTGCCTCGTCATTCTCGTGGTGAGATTAGTGATATCGAATACGAGCTAATGTTGGAGGGATTGCGCTCGCGTCGGCGTCGTGAGCACCCTTCGCCACGTGTAGAGAATGTTGAACAAGTTGCGGGAGGTACTAGTGCGTGGGATATGGCTGTCGATGGCGGAAACAGCGATGACGAGGAGTTTGATGGGTTGATGTCGCGTGGGGTCGTGCGAGGACCAACTCGGTTTAGTACGGCTAGCGTTGGCGGTGTACAGGAGCGTGTTCATCGTGCAGCAGCGTCACGAGAGCATGCGAATGTAGGACGGCGGAGCGTTGCTGGAGGAGGAATTGCGGAAGAGTTTGATAGTGAGGCTATGCCGGGCGTTACCCCGATAGGATCGATGTCGAGGGACGAGGGAATAGCCCCCAACTATGGCTACTTCAGATTCACTCCAGACAAGATCGTTGTCACTAGGCCGTTAGAAGGACGCCGCGACCTGTCGACGTGGACAGAATCAATCGAGCCGCAGCTTGAGATCGCTCAGCCAAAGCGATTCATAGATGGCACCACCCCCATTCCACCAGCGCGTGCGCTTGCGCATCTCTCTCAGTTCCGCGCGATGCAGTTGCTGACATTCACCACCATTTCCCGATGCTGCTCCCCAACCGTACAGATCGCCCTTAAGGCGTGTCGCATGAAGGTCGATGCCGGCTATCAGGCATGGCAGTTTATTATGCGCACGTACATGGCGAAGGACGATCTGTACATCGGTCAGTTAGAGCAGGCGCTCACTAACCTCGAAATGGGAGAGCACGAGTCCGCTGCGTCCTATTGCAACCGTGCGCAGCAGATCCTAGTGAACCTGAGGATGGCCAGCGAAGATTACTCGCACGCGTCGTACATCACTCACGTTGTGAAGGGGTTGCCGCAGCAGTACAACCTCTTACGCAGGATGCTGAAGCTGCCGCAGGTGTGCAAGGAGTTGGACGAGGACACCCTCGCTAGCTACATCATCGAGGAGGAGTGTACGCTGGCGGCAGAGGGACGAAAGGACCAATTCCTTCCCCAGGCGAACCAGGTCTTTACCAAGAAGGGTAAGCCCCAATTCCAGCAGACTTCATTCCCTTCCCCTCCCACTACGGCACAGCAGCAGCAGCCTAAGAATGGGGGTGGGCTTGGTGGGG